TAAGTATAATTAATTATAATTAATTGAGTTTAATTATAATTAATTATGTTAATTATAATTCATTATAATTATTTAATTTAATTATAATTTATTATTTTTAAATGATAATTAATCAATGAAAATAATTAGTTATAATTAATTAATTTTAATTATAATTAGTTATTTTAATTTAATTAATTATTATTAATTATAATTGATTATAATTAATTAAATTAATTATGAATTAATTATTTTTAATTATAATTAATCGATATTTATCATAATTAATTATAATTAATTAAATTTAATTATAATTAATTATTATTAGCTTTTATTAATTATATTAATTGTTAAAAAAAAAGAAATCCCTTGCCTGCCCCTTTGCTCGTACACGAGCCTCAATCGTCACGACTCCGCGTCGGCTTCAAGGTTTCATTTCTAACTTAAACCCCGTTCTCGTGTTTGCAGCGGACCGCAGGAAATCATATACGCGCTCTTGTAAGCACGGTAGGAGGGAGCCCGGTGCGAAGCATACGAAGGGCGGGTAAGCCCTATACACGCTCTTGTAGCTTGGTGGGACGGTCCTCGCATCGACCTCGACACTGACACCAGCCGAGCACTGCTACGAAAGGTTGATGTTCCGAAATCCATTCTCGACGTTTGCAGCGGACCGGAGAACCGCCTATCGCGCTCTTGTAGCACGTGAGGGACCCGGTGCAATGCATACCGACGAGGAGGAGAGAGCCCTATAACCGCTCTAGTAGCGTGGTGGGGAGAGTCATGCTGTTCTGGTACGGAATATGCTGAAGGCCAATACACGCTTTGTGCATGGTGGGATGAACATTTGTACGGCCGCGTGTCTACGGACACTACCATACACGCTCTAGTAGCGTGGTGGAGAAGGCCCACTCCCCTATTTTCCCCAAACGGGGGATATGCTGGGGTGCCTGTCGAAATTTTCACTGAAATGTACAAAAAGACTGAACAATATAAAGACCTACTTGAGCAACAATACAGAGGACTCGTACTTGAACTAAAAGCATATAACTGGGGCTCAAATGAACAACTGTGGACTCAGATTTGTGGACTTTTGTACACAAGCAAAGGACCGGAACAAAATTGGATTTCTAAAGGCCAAATTAAAACAAAATCAAGTCAATACGAACATACAATTGAACTCAAAAGACCCAGAAAACTTTGAACAAGCACTTGAACTTGTTCTTGGAACTCAAACTGTGCAATATATGAGGACCCGAATATAGAACCTCAAACTCCAAATGAACTCCAACATGAATTGAGTAAGATCACTCAAAATCACTACTTGAACTAAACTGGACACAAGATGTGGAGAGTAGGGAACTCAAATTGAACTCAAGTTGGATCCAAATTTGACATGAGCAATAAGAACTTGAACTTTCAAGAAACACACAAGACTTAAGCATGAGTTGAACCTTGAACTTGGGTTGAATGGAATACATAGAATGGGCTTCGGATGAATGAACAAATCAAGATCTAAGCGCACAGTCGTCCAAGCTAACAAGTTGCAAGTAGGAGATGAAATCTCGATGCACACGAAAGATGAATCACAAACTCCTACGACATTCCCTAAAATGCTGTTGATTTGAGATGACAATACTGGAGATGGCAACCAAGGACCTTCCTACAAACAATTGCAACATCAGCAATCCCACCTGAGATTGGTGACAGGTGGGCATGATGTAGGCAACAAGTTTCTCTACGAACAGTTCCAGGAGCTCGTAGTGCTGCAACGGGTCCCCGCAAATATATAACAACCACTTGTGGATAACAACAATGGGCATATCGTAAGCACATCGAGCCACTTGGCACAAGTAGATATTCTCCTACGACGATCCTTACGAGGTCAAACAAGTACAATCAACACCCGGTTGGTGAAAGGGTGGATATGATCGCAGAAGCAATGAGTCTTTTAAACATTTTTAGGAGGTCGTAATAGATGCAGCAGTCCCTGCAAATGGATACTTGTGTGGATAACAACTGTATTGAAAGTACAATGAATCATGATGGACACAGTACGGATATCATTTACGACAGTGGTGATCAAGATCTACAAGTGCGTTGAGATCAAGGCGACTTCTATGTACGAAAAGGACACCCCCTGGCAGAAGGGGGAAAATGTTGAAGCAAATTAGAACCAAATTTCTGGTGTCTAAAGTCTCTTCTTATTATATACTCGAGAAGAAAATAGTTCGATGTCTACAATATTGAAAATGACGGTCTACTACACCAAAGATCCTGAAGGGAGTTCTCCCCAAATTAGCAAGCCTTTGACTCCCGAATCAGAAAATCCTTTCCCGGTGAATGAAAGGGGGAGTCAACATCAAGACGCACGCCACCGGATCTGCAACACTTATGAAAGCAGACAGAAGACGTGTATAAGCTTTTCAGGAAATGTTGTGCATTCAAATAACAAATGTGCACAACACAAATATTTCAAAATACTCCTACACGTGCACCGTGGTTTGTATACACATAGGTACTATAAGGGGTGAATACAATCTCACACCCGCATGGGCCCTGACGAGCGTGTTATTGATACCACGTGACGCTATGGATGCTACCGCGGGTTGACAAGTGAATTCAAGTTCGAATCTGATCCTTCTATACGGATCAATAGAAGTCGACAGATTCAAACTACGTAACAAAAATCCACGGTTGTAGCGACCGGTGTATTGTTTAAATACATTTTTTTTAGGCCTTCAAGACCTAAAATCAATAAAATTCATACAAAGGCATGAAGCCTACGAAACCCGATCCTCTAATAATAGAGAAATAGGAGTAGAACAGGGTTCAAGATATCGAATAAATATTGCGGTTACGGAGTTGACCGGATATTTATTTATGCATTCATATTCGGCTTCAGGCTGAAATCAAGAAAATTCATGAAAAAAGGCACAAAGCCTATGAAACCCGATCTCTGTCGACAGCCCGACAGAGTTGACATTGTTTCAATCATAAAAGGAAGTGACCCCAAACACCCGTGATGGCCGTGTTGAACGGAGATCTCAACGGAGGGTTCCCAAAATATTATCAAATTCTACTCAAGTGTCTATTCATAGATCAACTCTACAAACCCAAATGTATCAAAGATATTTTAAAATTGAGAATCAAATCATCAAACACTTAAAGCAGAATTCATTCACCCTCCGCAGACACGGTTTGCGAGGTGGACAATGCAAAATTTACTTCAACTCACAAGAGCAAAATGCCAGTCGAAAATATCAACTCAGGATCCATTCTCACCCAATCTCCTGCCATAAGGAACGTGGTACTGTCCCTCTAACTGGCGGTCTGCCGCCGAAATGGCACCGCGGATGATAACGGTGTATAGACGACCCGAGGCCTCTGAAACCGAGTAGTTTTGCCGCAAATGGCCACCAAGCAATACCGGTATGGCCAGAGCCAATCGCTCGCTATTGAACTCAAATCCTTGAGATATGAATCAATATGATAATGATCGATAGTGGCAAAAGCCCTCTGTACAGCTAAGGTGGATTCAAAGTTTGTCCCCTTAGACAAATATCCACCCAGTTCTACAAGGTCCTCCCTGTGACGAAGCAACCCATGGCTGCCAACAAGGATTCTTCTGTCAGGCGTTGGTCGACTATCTCCTCTGACTAAGTAGACCAGGGACCACGATGGCACCGAGGATGACGAATCATGGGATCTTGATGCGGCCTCATCCATTTTCCCACCATCCGCTTTAAAGTCAAGAATGGTGAAATTTCTATTTAAATATCAGAATCTTTCAATTCCCCAAATCCAAACTTTTTTCCAAATTCCAAAACCTCAAACCCATTGCCGCTACTATTGTCCAGATATACATGTATCTCTATACGTATCTGATTGACGACTAGCCTTAATCAAAAGTTCTCTCTCGTGATCGGGAGGGGTAATTAACTATAGGGGCTTGCGCCTATAGGAAACCAGAACTCAGATCATAAAGTCCTCGCAAAATGAGGGCGAAATCTCTGGGTAGTGTCTTATCTACAAACCCATCTGCCTTCCAAAATTTACCCCGGAACTTAGTTCGTTAAAACTCCCTCGCTAAATAAAAGAAATCGCGCGGCGGGGAGGCCGGGGCCGAATTTTCGGAGCCCACAGAAAATAATGTAGAAAGACGATAAATTTTTTTTATTACATTAACTTATAAAGCAAAGAAAAAAAATCATCAATCATTACATCAATGACATGTTTTGAGGAAATGGTTATAGTCAATTATGGTCAAATATATTATGAATTTGATTGAAGAATGGTTTTTTGTATTCTCAAGGTTTTGAAAATTAAACTAGACATAGAAACTGAAGAATGAGATGTTCAAGATTGAATTGAGATTTAATCATATGATATAATTAATATTAAAATTATTTTAATATGATTTAAATAATATAACAATAATACAATCAAAATAGTTTTACTAATCAAATATGTAATATTCTAAATTATGACACTTCACCATTGAATATTTTTAATTTGATTATAAATCAAATTTTGAGACATAATATTAATCATTTGTAAGATATTCAACTTCAAATAACAACTATATATCCAACTTGAAATTTAAAAAAATATAAATTGAAGAGGGGGCGAACTTCCTAAAACCTATCAACCTTCTATTAGAGCCATTTGATCAAAAGCAGTAGGCCAAAAAATTGATCCATATTTGAATTGTCTGATTTATAAAAAATTGAACCGGTTCAACCACCACTTTTGACCTGTTTTGTCCTGCACAAGCGGTTTTTGGATTGGATTGGATTGAATTGACCTGACGACTAATTCACGGTTGAACTATTCAGACGAGCTGGTCTGGTTTGATTTTTAAAACCACGAGTATTCCTTTAATCTATACTGTCATCCTATATTGCGAACAATTTTTGCTACTTTCTTTTTTTCCTTTCATTTCTGTTATCATTTTAATGGAAAACAAGCTCAGATTGTGTTGTAAGAATCATAATGGCCAATATATAATTATGTCCTGGCAGTTCTGATCTTCAACTAGCAATAGCACTTCAGCAACAAGAGTTTGACCAACAGCCCCAACAACCGCAACAACAACCACAACAGCAACCACAACAGCAATCACAAAGTACCCAACAGTCATCCATAAGTGGTCGTTCAAAGCTTGTCACGGGTCCTCAGGTGCGCACTTTATAACTCTACCGATTTATTATCTGTTATGCTTTTCGAACCATTTTCAAGATAATAATATGCTTCTTTGGTTTGTTTTAATTTATTGTCAAAGCTTGAGGCATAGGTAGAAAGGTTATAAAATTTGCTTTTTTATATCTTCTCGCTTATTTCAGTGTATGGTTACGTGTCTGTCATGAAACATGTTTAATCATCATTTTACATAGCATGCTAGCAAGAAACTGAATAGAAGACATGTTTATGATACTTAGCAGTTAGATTCATTTTCTGGAAATTGGGAACGGAATGGAATGTGCAAGTTGAAAGGCTAACTAGTTTTTTGTACACTTCTCTTCCCCTTTTCTTGGGTCAGAAGATCTGCATGAGCCTGATGTTTATGACCATGTTTTTTATTATTTTTTTCTCTACTTGAAAGTCCTGATGGGTGGGAGTATATTATGATATAGGTAAAGTGATGAAAATGAACAAATAAAGAAAAGAAGAAAAGAAACATAAGGGGAAGAACTTGTCAGAAAAACAACTGTCGTACTTGCCTTCCCAAAATTTTTTCAAGTTTGACATTTGATTGAAGATTAAAATCTTGGAAAGAGCAATTTACATATTCATATGAAATTTTATTAATCAATATAAGTATTTTTTTTTTGTATACCAAATAACTCAAAAAATGATCTTCACCATCTTCATACGAAGAAAAGCAATAGGAGAAAGAGAGATTCTTAAGATATTTGAATGAGGGAGTTAGATTGAAGGACTGATTGACTAAGCCGGTTATGTTAGGATATCATTTACTATCCACTAATAATAATGGAGACAATTTCATGACCAACAATCATTACAAAGAACTCGATTAATATGAAAGTTTGAAAGATATGCAGATGATTGATTGAATAAGAAAAAAAAAAGAAAAAGATGTAAGAGAATCATTTAAGCCATTCGTTGATGATTCATGATAGAAAATTTAATCTCATCATAACTCTTTCCACTACTTTGTTGTTGAGGGTTTTGTTCGAGATTACACACACTATTAGTCCTATCAATGTCATTCCCTAGCGAGATCTCATCCCTAATTTCTCATTTTGTTCTTCGAATTGTGCGCTCCGTCAGTCCTATCGTTAACGTGAGATCGTCTTCATAACCTCTTCTTTCCTGCCCATGAGACAAGGTTAACAAAATAGTAATTTTAGTTAATAATAAGATTTAAATGTTATATATGTCAATAAGATAATTTTGAGTGTTATGTTAAATATATATATATATATATATATATATATATATATAAGACAAATGATTGCATTAGGACCTGCAATGAAGCTGTAATGAGCTGTGCTATATGTAATGCCTTTGATTCTTATCATGTTTTGCATATCAAACATTAGGAACTATTTTGCATGTTTTCAGCTCTTGATTTAACATGTTATGAACAATCTCCATGGAATTGTCTTGAAGTCTGTGATCTCTGCTTATGTTTCTTGATATGAAATATTACTTGAAGATTCCTTTTGCCAGCTGAAGTAACGACAAATTGATGAGTAGTAGGGCTGTCAAAATTGGGTCACGGGTTGGGTTCGGGTCTAACCCGAAATTGAACCGACATTGTTCAACTTGAATCGAACCCAACCCGTTTTTGCAAAAGGATCGGTTTTCCGAACCTGAACCCGACCCCCTTCGGGTCCAGGTCAACTCGAACCAAATCCACTTCGAGTACATTTTACTAATTTTTTTAATTAATTCCATTTATTTAAATCTAAATCAAATTAAGGAATGATTTACTTCAAACAATTTACTATAAATCAAGTTTAATTTAATTTGAACAATAATATTTATTATTTTTTAGAAATATTATTTACTTATTTCATTAAAATATTTTAAAATTATCTTAAATTAATTAAAAATGAGTGAAACAGGATTGATTTCGGGTTTCCGGGTCAACCCGAACTCGATCCGGTTTTACAAACGGTTTGAAATCCCTAACCCGAACCTAAAATTTTAAAATTAGGTTTGGGTCGGGTCAACTATTGACACCCCTAATAGAAGTAGAACTAATATGTTACCCGAATTCTAGAAGGATACAATTGATTGATCTGGAGTAGCGAAATTGGCATTGAATGCAGCAAAGAATATTTTTAATTTTTCTTTGTCGGTTTACATCATGAATGTTATTAAAACTTTGATGGGCTCCCATATTTTTATGTAAATGAGCTACCGTAAAAGTCTGGATGGTTTGATTCAAACGAAGAAAGTGTTCTCATTACTTGTCACTTGAGCATCTTGGCTTTTTATAAGATGATGTTCTGGAGCTTTCCTGTCATTGACTTCTAATGTTACATAACAATTGCAGGTATCAAGGAACACCAATTTGACGCAGAAAAGTGAATCAAAACTTAAGGAGAAATGTACCATAATGTAAAAAATATATTTTTAACTCTTACTGTAATTGTGCTTATTGTTCATCTTGTATTACATGATGCAAGTTTTGATGTAAAGAAGAATATTACAAACAATGTTTGCAATATAAGTTGGCTATGTATCCATTCATCTTTTGATTTACATGTGCACAAAGGTCACCTTCAAGTAAGAGCCTCTTTTTTTTTTTGGTTATAAATCTCCTAAATTTAAGGCAATATTAATATATATGAAGTTTCTCAAATGAATATCACCCAAAAAAAAAAAAAAGATAAATTCTGTCCGGCAACCTTTCATTTATTTGTAAAAGTTTGAAGGTTTTATATAAATTAGCTGTAATAGTTAGTACATACAGGAATCCTTTTAGGAATGGACTGCCAAGATGGTGGTGTCCATCAAGGCAGGAAAAAGTGCTACAAAGAGTGGGTTCTTCCATAGGCAGCTCATGAAATCATCCCGATCAATTTTCCCATCATTGTCCACGTCGAACAAATGAACCAGTTGAATAAGCTACATGGAAATTAAAAAATAAATAAATAAAAATTACATAAGTAACAAGAAAAACAATTCTTTAATCGGGATTAGCTAATAAATGCTTACCGATTCTTTGTTGACTGTTGGTATCATTGATTGAAGCTTATCATGGAACTACAATCATCAACGGTGTTAATAAGAGAGTATTTTTCACATATATATACAAATGCTAAGCGGGACGATTAAGTTATATAGATACCTGCTCAATTGTTAAAATTGCACAACTCGATTCAATGTCACAGAACGCGTTAAAAGCTGTTTCACAAGCTCTCATGAATAAAGGCTGCTTCCTAACGTGCGCTGAACCGATCAAGAACTGCATGTTGCGTACAATGCGTTTTCAGTCTGATGCAAATTTATTATTATGGCCAAGGAAAAAAAATATATATTCCATGCCGAGTCTGGACATTGTCTGAACCCAAATTATTTGAAAATATCTGAATTTTTTTCTCTTATACATCGGATATGTACATGAGAAAATCTAGATATTTTCACGTGATTGAAATTCAGATGAAAAACTACGTTCAAATTCTGCACATAATAATTTCTGACAAACAAAGAACAGACGCATGCTTGTTGCTATATGAATTCATTGTCAACAACTACGTTAGTAAGTAACAGCAAGCTGAATCCAAAGTTCCAATATCCCGCCATCTTCTTTGAAGAGGGGCTTCTGGCAACAACGCAAGTGCGATTGGGGATTGAGTCGCCTGGCCTTTGAATTTTTTTTTTTTTTTGGCCCATATAATGAACTTGTACATGTAATATTTACCGATGAATGAAATAGAATTTTGTCTTGCTCGTCTTCTCTTATTTATATATATATGTATTTGTTCATTGTTTATAATTTTTATAAGATATATATATATATATATATATATATATATTTGTTCATTGTTTATAATTTTTATAAGTATTGAACTCAACTATTTTGTATGAATGATAAGTGTAGGGTGTAAATGCCATGGTAATCACCGATAGATTATTGAGAAGTTTTCTAAATTTCTCCAAGTTTTTAACTCGTCAATAACTTGGTTATGACTAAATACCTAAATCATTAATGAATGATTAACTAGCTTGACCATGGAGAAAATAATTAACTAACTCGGCCACTAAATAAATGAGAATATACCCATTGAATAAGCAATTAACCATTGGAAGTTAGATTGATTTGCACTCCATATATGTCAACTAGAAATCAATTGGTCAATATGTTCACCATAAGAATATGCAACCCTACTTTTAAAAGTATTGTAAGTAAACTTTGAATGATAGATTTATAACATTCAATTTGCAGGGGAGTGTTGGAAACCATGGGACCCACACCTTATGCACACACGAGATCCCAACCTAATTCCATGCATGGCCCATCCTTGTTGGGACCCACAAGTCAACCAATATTGATAGAGATCCTTGAGCACATAAATTATGGGTTATAACTATTTGATCAATCTACTCATGACCATATTATTGCAAACAGTGTACTCCCTCTAGCCATTGATCCTCTTGGGGGTATTCTTATTTTTCTTCATTTTTAAAATTAGCTTTGATTTATTTTTGCAAAACACTTGGTGCGGTGTGTATATATCTCCATACTTTGTATAAAAAAAAAGTAATAAAAATTCAAAATAGTTTTTTACATTTTTTTCCTTTTCTACACCATTGAAAGTTAGTTCACAAAATTGATTTAAGAAACATAAAGATGCCATCTACGGCACAAAAATTTCGTAAGTAGTTTAATGAAACCAAATACTTGCAACTACTATGGATATTCATTTTTACCTGACGAAAAGAAATAGATCCCTTCCTTTCCACATCAAGGTAAGCAAAAATCTGCCAAGAATGGAACGTACGGTTAAATATTCAATCATGGCAAAGAAATGAAAAAAAGAAAGAAAAATGCCATTAATTTACTGCACTGGCTCACAAATAACTTCAAGTGCCCGAAGTTTCAGCCATTATGCATCACATCCATGTTATACGTAATATATTTTGAACAATTATTTGGAATTTTGCACATATATTAAAATCATAGCATTTCATAACACAAATATCATACCAATAATTCTAATATTAAAATGAAAAAAATTAATAGTCAGCTCAGAAATTGTAGGTATATGCATATAATGTTTAGCAGCAATGACAGCTGTAAAGCATGCTGCTTGTTCAAGTAAAGATCAAAACTGCCATGCAAATAGGGGTTTAGTAATCCATGCCAGCTCTGACCTTGCCTTTTCACGTCTCATTCAGTTCCTTAAATCAGTGTTAACACAACAGCAGCAAACTAAGAGTAGCAGAGAACTCCTAAATGTGTCCTAAATAGTTGGTTTAAGTTTAATGATGATTACGTTCGCCTTCATATATATATAATTCTTCTTTAATTAGTGTCTAAATTTAAGCAGAGCCACCGATTCTCCTCTTCCCTTCTCCCTATTTTTGGGACCATTTTTGCTGAGTAAGATCACTCTGATGGACGAGAAGTTCAGGGTGAGTGGCAAAATGAACAGGCAAGTAGCTTAGTTGTAAAAAATTATTCTCCAAAAGCCCTTTCAAAAAGTAAATTAACTTATCCTTTTTGTTAGATACTCTTTGAATCAGTGTGAAACTTTTAGAGTTTGCGGAACCAACTAGCTGCAGTCAAGTTATACTTTTGTCTCTTACTCATCAGAAATTATATATCAAACGCAGGAAGGAAACGCTCCAAACCCTCATTCAAGTTTAGCTAATGCATGCACGTATAGCCTCGAAATTACTAGGATGCATAATAATGAAAGTTTTCTCCAATTTCAAACAATGAAAAAAATTTTATATTTATATCGTGTTGCCTGACTGATGATGATTAAGATAGGATTTTTTTTTAATATTTGCATTAAATTGGAATTAACTATTTCTTAATGTCATTAATTATTTTCATGAGGGTCATTATGTAATAAGCCCTTAAGGTTAATCTAGGCTTTAAATTATTAGTCTAATGTTATAGATAGCTTCTCATATTTTGTAAGAACCTAGTTAAAATAAATTGAATGAAAATTTCCCGTAGCCCATATTTTTGCATCCTAATTATTTTCTTTCGTACTTTGAAGATAACAATTGTGAACCGCTTCAACTTCCATGCACTAGGTGCAATCCTAGTCATTCATTTGTTAACCATTGATCTCATAAAATGAAATCTTCCACCACAAGATACTTAAGCCTATGGCCAATAGAATTCTTTCTAACTCTTTGCTGCTGTCCAGTATCCATTCAAAATTTATTCACATTTTCTTCTTCTTGTCTCCATCATTTAGATCTTATTTTTTATGTTGAACACATCACAGCATGCCATACAAGAACACGTTAATTATGGCTTCTTTCCATTCTCGTCCGGTGTCTACTTACTGACAAAAGCTTCACCACATTATTTAACACAGCAGACATGTGCCATTAACCTGCCTCAGCTCACACTGCCCATCTGGCTAGTCAACCATCAGTCATAATAGAATGCCCTATCATTGAACAAGGGCTTCTCTCAATTCTAGCTCTCTTAACTCCAGCCAAATTTAGTCAAATACCCTTGACGAGATTAATTTGATCGTGTTCAACACAAGACCTTCACTTCTCCTAATGTAAAAGCATTATAGTTAAATTCATAAATATAATCGAACTCTCAGCCTCTACATAAATATAATCCCTTCAGTCTTATGTGTGGTGTAGCTGTATCAGTTAGAGTATTAACTTCTGTCCCTAATTAAAAGTATGCCATCTCGACAATCTCTATTTCAAAACCCTAAATGCTTCATAACGCATCCACTCGTGCAATGGATTATCTTTATATTCACAAAATCTATTTTATAATGAGAACTGTCGAATTAGCATATTTTTCTTTCATTTTTTTAATGAGTCTACAATTATGTTGCATACGTTAGCATCAATTTAGTATGCATACTTTACATCAATTTGGTATCAGAATAAAAATCATGCTATTTTTCAACTTGCTTGATTTCAACATGTTCAACTAATTTTCTCTAATATCTTTTTTCTGTGACTATTCTCCTAACACCCTTTCTCGCCCACCCATGTGATCCCCCTCTTTTTTTTTTGTACTTTTTATCTCCATTTGCAAAAAAAAAAGATCATAATCCCTATACTTTTTTCTTTCCCTCTCCATCTGCTCTCTATACTATCTCCTATCCACTCACTTTTCTCTCTCAATCATCTCCTAAATTTCTTAACAAATTCATCAAAATTTGGATCCAAATCTTCGACCCTTCTACTAAAATCCCAACTCCCAACTATTAAACTAAATTTAATCCGTATTCAACTAAGTGTCACATCCTCAGCCATAAAAAACAACTCACCAAGAAATTCAAGTGTCATACACTTTTCTCTCATAGGTAAACAAAATGTTTTTTCTCCCCCTTTTTATTAACTTATCACACAAAACGAGAGTTTACTTTTCTCATAATTTTTCAACTATTAAAAAAAGAACAAAGAAGTAGGAGCAGTTTTTTTGTTACTCAAAGATGCTAACCCATCCTTCTACCTAGAAATCACCAGTTTTACTACTGTCCTCTAACAATAACAGCTATGGTAAACTACTCATTGATGACACTACATTAGGACTAATTTGATTGTGACGCATCATAAGATAATGATTTCATTGTAAGTTGAGAACATTTCGAGAGTATTAATTGTGATATCTAGAGGCATGCACAAGTTTTTCTTAGGAGTTACTAACCATTAAACTTGAGATCACAACTATGAGTGAATATTTTTTTCTAAGATAACTAAACTATGTTTAATTGATATACGAAGTGTACTTCAACTGATTAAAATATTTCTAACTTTCTTGTATGCTGAATTGATTTCTTTATATCTGAATTCTTGCATGTAATTGAAATTTACAAATAACAATTAATTCAAATTTTGATGTACTTCTTAGGATGAGGTGCATGATTTTGATTGTAATAATCAAAGGAGTCGCACAATGATGTGCTTCTTAGGATGCTATTATAAAAATCATAGTGCATCTAAACCTTCACAAGTCGTCAAAAATATTCATGGTATAGGTCCAAATGACAATAATCAAATTCATAGGTAATTGAAATTTAAAACTAACAATTGATTCAAATTTTGATATGCTTCTTAAAACATTGTGCACAATATTGTGATCATAATGTTCATAGGAATTGTGCGATAGTGTGTGCTTCTTAGGACATTATTATAAGAATTATGTGAATCTCAACCTTCATAATTACAAAATATTCATGTGCAAGGTCCAAATGACCAAAATTCCTAGTTTGAGCGTGTTACAAACCCTAGAGATTAATAGAGGGTCCTAGAGATAACTAGGAATATAGAGACCACAAAGACCTTAAAGACTAGATAGATCAAGGAACACAAACTCTTTCTAAAGATTAGAATCCCAATAATGATTGTGATGATTACGCATTTACACCATAAACATTATGAAAGAGATCATGGTATATATGAAGCTATAAAAAAAATTAATTGCTCCCATGTTTGAAGGTAGAAATAGCCTGAATGTTTTTATTGGATATAACTTAAGGAACTCTTTTATTGTTATTCTATATGCAATCAAAGAGTCTCAAATATTCCAAAATTAATGTTGAAAAACTCACATCATGACCCTACTACGACATACAAATTCGTACTTCATACTAATTATAATTGGCTGGCATGAAAGCTAAAATGAGACATCAATAGTTGAGAATTGATAAATCTTAAGTAAAAGAATCAAACTACTATTGAAGAATTGAATTCTAGAACTGATCTATAGGAAGGGGCATGGGCAATAACATCTAGGTTGTAAATGATCTCTGTCCTAAAATTTAAGGTAGAAGTATGACTCTTTCAACTAAAAGACTTAGTTGAGACTCATCCTAAAGTTTTAGAGCTGAAAAAGCAATTGTTTCTTTTGTTCATAAGTAATCAATTTGTCACTATTAACATAAAAAAAAAAAAAAACATAGTCCATCTAGGTTTATTAATTAACAATTATCCATCCTTCAATTCAATTTACACTTACGCCATATACAATTCATGACACAAAATGCTAAATCCACTAATACACAATCAAATGAGTTCTTCAACTAAGTGTGAAGAGAAAGGCCATATCATAATATACACAATCAAATGAGTTCTTCATTCTAATTGTGATTTGAAAATAGACAAAAACTAATAATTAGAGGTAATAAACCTCAACTTAATTTCTAGGATTGTCACTTGTACCATAGTCCTTACTCCTCTTAAAAGCAGAATTCTACAACTTAATCCATTAGCTATAATAACCATGTTGCTTAGATTTTATAGTTAAACTAAGAACTAAAAGATTATAAACTTCAATTATAACACATTCCTATTAAGGGGTTGTTTGGTTGCATGCAGAAGGGGTGTAAAGTATTTCAAATATAGGGATTTTGAGAATATTGGTGTTTGATTTGAAGTGAAACAAATGTAATATAAAATTTTGGTGCACTTAAAATTCACTCTCTAGTTCATTTTTTGTGTATTTGGAATTCTTCAGATTTGGGCGAGTTCCAAATACATCAACAATTCATTTCAATTGCCGCCACCCGATCACCAACCAGTGATCACCACCGTTGCCAGTCTCACTGCTGCCAATGTCGGCCACTGACCAATACTCTTTTTGCACTTTACATTGCATTCATTTTATTTAAAAAAAAAAAAATCTCATACATTCCTTTTACATTGATCCAAACAGTTCCAAAGTATTCATTTTACATTGCATTGCTTTTTAGTTAACCAAACAACCTCTAAGTGTAATAATATAAATGTTACTAGCATAAAGAAAAAAAATCTAATTCAACGTTCACAAAACAAACATATAAAGATTAGACACCACTTAATCATATATTATATTGCTCGGGGTGATGTTAATATTATATTAATATTAAATTTAGTCCAATTGATTTACAACTAGCAAAATATTTTACTAGGACTTTTTTATGTATCATAGTGCTTAAGACTTTTTATGGAATAATTATGATTGAGTTTGTCTATCTTTTGCTATAATATACAGTCTATAACTAATTATCATCACTTAATTTATTATATTGGAAAATTTTTCTATAAGCCCTAAGATTTACTCCATTATCTAGTACTAGTATTTATAATTATATGCCCAATATCCTTTTTGGACCTCACTATTACTTTTAATCTCACTTCTTTTCCTCCATAATTTTTGCTACCAAAACAAGCCATTTGACATCGAAAGTGCCCTTAATGCGAAAAGGAGATGGTTTTGTATGTCGAATTTGTATGTCGTATTAGCGTCATGATGAGAGTTTTTTAATTGGTAGAGGATCAGAGGTACCTAAAGAGATAAACGAGAGGCAGCAGCTCAGTAGGCTCATACAAGATGACCACCATCATATTGACATCCAAAGAGCCAACACTGAATACTCTTCGGGGGACTTCAAAGGAAAAGACTGCAGGAGAAAGACTTGAGGACAACTTCGAGAAGCTCACAAAAACTGAATTACAAGAGAAGATGACGAAGGGCTCTATTTCAGATGTGACAAGAAGTATACTCCAGAGAACAGGTGTAAGGACCGAACTCGATCTTTAGGTTCTTACTGTCTGTGATGGCGGGGGAATGGATGAAGGTGTTGTCTTTCCACCTTGCGGACAAGGTGAATCTTCGCGCGGGGGGGGGGGGGTATTGTTAGACCGGTCCAGCCGGTCGTACGTCAGCTCGTGCGAAACAGGCGGAAGATCCGCCTCTCCTATATGTGCAAATCGGACCGTCCGGGTCCAATGGAGCTATTTAGGAAGTGTTTTTGATGGAGTTAGGAGGTAAATTTGAATGTAGGGACTATTTAGAGATTTTTTTTTTATTGTATGCATTAAATAGTTTGTTTTTCTAGGGTTAGGGCAACTTGATTTTCGCTGAAATTTGAGATCTCGTGTTTTTTTTATCTCTAGCGGCGTATAGAGATTTGGGAGAGATAGATCCTCGTCTCGAATAGAGGATCAATTGTATCTTGTTATTTTCTTTCCGTTGGTTTGATTATTCTAATACAAACTACTATTTATCCAATTTTTCCTTTGGATTGATTGATCGTTCTAGCTGTTGTTGTCAAGATCATTAAGTTTTGTTGAGATTTTTAAGTGTTTCCTAACAGAGATCAAATAGGAAGAGATGATGTATGAGGACGAAGATGATGAATGAAGAAGAATGGGTGTTATTGCAACTCGTCTGAGGAGACAACGTGATGAATAAGGCGTGATCATAACTTGGGAGAATAAGCAATTGGATGTGAGAACGAGAGATATGGTAAAATTGAAAAAAGATGTATGGTTTTTAGTTTTAAAAATATCTTGAAGTTTTGAAAGACTTAAGATTGGATTTTTAAGTTGAGGACTAAAAAATAAAATTAAGAAGATCAAAATTTCCCCTATTATATTTGTCTTCAATAAAGATCCAATGTATTTGTATATGCATTGTTGTTTTCACATTACAATTGGTTCTATTTTTAATGATGTATCTCATGTTTCGTTTGGTACAACTTTTTTATTGTTTTATAAAGCAGATTTTTAGTATAAATTTTTTTTGAACTAGAAATTTTTGTACTAAGAAGCTTCTTTAGAAATCAATAAGAATACCATCCCAAACGAAGCCTCAATTGCAAATTCAAGGAAATTTCAAGCCTCCAAAATTTATTGGTGATGCTTCAATGGATGGAGCTTATGTAAGTCAGGGTGCATTCCTATTTCTCCAAATGACATTTCTATTAGTTGCATCTAGAAATATTGCAATGTATTCTAATAATTGGAATTACCATCCACCTTTAAGAGATTCTATGATTCTTCTTTCTTCCTACGGAATCTATTGTTGCTCCACTAGAATTCCAGTGATTTCATCTTCCTTACTCACAAGAGGAAAGTTCTTCCCAGCCTCAGGGAAGTTCTCCCCATCTATAGGAAATTGATTAAGTATGTCATCTTCTATATAATTGATGATGATTAAGGTAGATATTTATTTTTTTTTAAATTCATGTACATTAATTAGGAATTCGCTATTTTATGTAATTTATTGTTTTCATTAGGGTTATTATGAATAAGCCCTTAGAGGTAGTTTCACTTTGTTAGTTGTCAAGCTATTTTTATTAATGGGCATTATACTTTAGTAAAAATAATTATGATGAGTTGACAGAAAAATTCCTGCCATCCACATCTTCACTAATAATTTTCTCTTTCACACTTTTAAGGGTTAAGCACAAGCTACTTTGAGGATTTGTTATTTCAAGTATTTTGAGGATTCAACATCAAAACTTGAGATTTCATTATCTTAATATCCTTTCTCGTTTGTTTCTTTCAATCACCTGTTGAATCTGCAATTCCAGGCCTACAATGCATCAAATAGTACGAAATTAATTTTCTCTTTACCCTAAATCAGGTTCCATGACAGCAAATGTTTGGCAGAACCATTGGTGTTTGAGGTCCTCAAAACCAATCAGATAAGTAGTTTTAACAACATCCTCCTAGGCAACAATTTAATACAACAACAACAACAACATCAAGCCTTTATCCCACTACGTGGGGTCGGCTACATGAATCCTTTTTCTCCATTGTGTCCTATTAAAAGTCAAATTCTCGTTTAAATCTAATAAAGAAAGGTCATTCCTAATATTTTCTAACCAAGTCTTTTTAGGTCTACCCCTACCTTTCTTAACATAAGTCAAATCTAATACCTCTACTCTCCTAACCGGGTCATCGCAAGGCCGCCGTTTTATGTGACCTAGGCAACAATTTAATAATCAGATAAAATTTCAATGAAAGAAATACATAGTTGCATAATTGACGCAAGCTTGATAAAGGAACAAATCCACTAACTCAGCATTTATAATTCTGGATGATATAAAAAAAGAAAATATCATGCAAGACAAGAATCAGATTACTTAATCATAAATAATGAAGGGTGAAAATTAAACTTGCAAATAAAAAGACATATCCAACCTTCTTGAATATAAGATTGTCTCCCAGCTCAAAAGCAGTCAGAAAACCATGAATTTGAACTCGACCACTACATAAGTAAGAGGAATAAATCTTCAAAGGCGTTTTATACAAAACATAAATACGTGGGGCCATTGCATGAGATCCCTATAACAATTTATGCAAGCAAAAATAGCAAGGTTACTGAAATAATTTGACACGTATGTTACTAGCAACAAAATGAAAATTTAACGAGCATGCTGTCACTAGAAAGAAATAAACTACTAAGAAGATACAGTCAGATCTGGAGTGTTACTTCAACCTCTTGATCTGGTTATTTCAATTGTTTCCAACCAAAACCACTTTAAGGAAATAAGCAAATCCAAACTTTGTTACCCGCTTGCTAAACAAGTCAAACCATAAATATGTTACTTTCAAATAGTGATGATGGTTGATTGCCCTGGAGTTGGAAGATATAATTGGGTCATCTTAAGCTTCAACTATGTTTGGGTCATCGTAAGCTTTGTGATGATATATTTTACGATGGTTGGGTGGATCCAGCAGTGTTTGTGTGGTCATTTAGGGCCCATCATTCGTTTAGAATCATCCTGATATGGATCATATGAGGTCAACCAAAATTTGATATGAACCAGCATATACACACTGGCAACTCCATGTTGGGTTGTGGGTTGGGATAGATTAGAACCCTAGGAAAAACTAATTAAATAATCTGATGATACTTGATAACACACATCAGTTTTGTTATATGGAACCAAACGAGGACAAGCAAGCATATTTGATTGACTAGATATTTTTTTTGGCATTTCTGCTAAAACTAAACTGTAGAAATAATTCTGCGCAGCTGGAATTCAAAGTTGCATAATTGGGGTTGAAGCATGTTAAACATCAATATATTTCATTAGATCTTAAAATTGGACAAGCAAATTGTGCAAAATGGGCTACCAATAAGAAGAACCAACCAACAATCATTAGAATCTACCAAATAAGAAGAACTCCTAAATAGTTAAGATTGTTAAGACAAAAAAGTGTTCTACAAATATATAATGAGTTTTATTTTATTTTGTTCTTTTAGTAAGGAAGGCCAAGTTTAGCTATTTTATTTTAAGGTATGTATTGGGTAGACTATGTCTATCTTGTAAACTTAGTCTACCCAAGTAGTATAAATAACTCCTATTGTAATTAAATGGTATGAATGAAAAATTTCTAGTTTCCTCTCTTTCTTTCTCTCTCTTCTATTTCCCCTTGGGAGTCTACACCTACTCTAAAGATGCCTCACTTCTTGGCTTCCAAGAAGCATATCAATGATGCTCTTGTTGTACTAACCACACCTTCCCTCTCCTCTTCCTGCTGATCAACTGCGGACTCCGAAAATTCGGCCCCGGCTTTCGCCCGCTGCTTTTCTTCTTCTTCGGGGGAGTTAACGGAATTAAGTTCTGCAGTAAATTTTGGAAGGCAGATGAGTTTATAAATAGACACTACTTGGAGATTTCGCCCTCTTTTTGCAAGGATTTTATGATTTGAGTTCTGATTTCCTATAGGCGAAGCCCCTATAGTTAATTACCACTCCCGATAACGAGAGAGAAATTTCAATTAAGACTAGTCGTAAATCAGATACGTAGAAATATGCATTATTTGGCATATAGTAGCAGAATGAGCATAGGTATTTTATTTTTTTGATTTTTTTTGCTTTGTTTTAGAGGTGAACAAATGCTCCCCAACAAATGTGATACGCGTCTAAAGCGAATCACATTTGTTGTATGATGATTGACCTTACTTAGTAGATTGATGATAACATATAGCATGGTTACTTCTCGCTCTTTTTTTGCCACCATAGTCACTTTAGTTTCTAGTATTTTTATAATTGTTCACATATTTTTTTAGCGGTCATATATAGATGTAATATTTATGTCGCTTGTACTGATTGTATCTTGCTTAGATTGCACTTTATGATGATAGCATATTTAGTTTACAGAGGATCTTCCATTCTTCCCTCCTTTAACTATATTTTGGCAAGAAATTTTAAATATTTATTTGGGGATCTCGACACGCGGTGTGATGTATATCCAAATAAATATTTAAAATGTCCCCAATCTTTATGGACATTTATAGATGTCATTCATGATGCTTCTTTTGTAGCTTTAGCTTAAGTACTGAAGTCTGGGTTCCTTCTGTCCTGTGCTTTGTGCATCAAACATTGGTGGAAAGTTACCTGATTTATCACTACCGACTTGTCAAGAGATTTTTGTGCCTTTGACCCTATGCTTCCTGCTTTGGCGGGCTTGATGAAGGAGTTGATGCCGACGACCTGAACCCTTTAGGTTTGCATTAGGTCGGTAGCGCGGAGTCATCAATCCAGAGCTTTGTGCATAACGGACTTGTTGATGAGGAATCATCTTAGTTTAGCCTTAGGCTTTATGTAAACTTTAAGATGTTTTCTTTGGTCCTTTGCTTTGTTCTTTGATGTACTTGTTAAAGAAAAAAAATTTCAATCATCGCTTGATGCTTTATGGATTTATTGAAAAATTTGAAGGTTTTGGATTCAACTGATAGTAACAAATATGAGTAATATCTTGATCCTTCACCACTTGAGGAGACTTTAATCTGAGTCACTTGAGTTCATCAGATTAGGAGAGCTAGGAGTTGATAGCTCTTCGTTCTCTGGTTGCTCATATGGGAGTTCCTCTACTACGGCCTTTCTTATGGCGTGTCATGTAGATGGAGCTGCCAGCAATCTGTCTATATTTGGGCATATGCCTCTAACACTCATTTAAGCTTCAGACTTGAGCTATGAGAAATGCGCTTCCTAATACTGAATTTACTGAAGTTGATATATTTGGAGTTCTCCTTTGTGGTGGAAGATTTGGAGCCTACGCACATTCAATAGTTGCTCGCGACTCTTCTTTTCCATCGAAACTTTGATTCTTCGGTCAATTAGGAGTAGACTAAGATTACTTGAACTTATCGAATCAAATAATCCTTCGTACTTCCTACAGTCACTACTGACTGGTTGACGAAGGGGGGGTTCCTCTACTACGACCATTCTTATGACGTGTTGGGTAGATGAAACTGCCAACGATCCGACCATATTTGGGGTGTTGGATCCAACCTTTTACACCCATTCGAATCTTAAGATTCAGGCTGTTCAAAGACTTCAAGCTATCCTGGCTCGATTTGTTAGAGTGTAGTAACAAAAGTCTCTTTCTTGACTTTCAAATCTTTGCACGTTAGAAAAGATGGTGTTCCGAGCTTTTAGAAGATCACTTGCATATACTTTGAAAATAAATCGTTATATTTTTCAGCATAAAAGAATATTTGCATTGATAATTTTAAATATTTATTCGGAAATCTCGACACGCAGCGTGATGTCAACCTGAATAAATATTTGAAATGACCCTGTCTCGTATGGATATTTCATAATAGAATAAATTTAGAATTTTGAAATTTTAAATATTTATTTAGAAATCTCGGCGCATATCATGATATCAACCAAAATAAATATTTAAAATGCACCTGTCTTATAGAGGAATTTTTATTGCCTCAGGTTACCTGACGTAGAGAAACATCAGGTAACCTATAATATATCGCCACGTGCTCTTACTTTTTACCGCGCGGCCCGACGACCCAACCCGGAACGAATCTGGGATTACTATGTCCGCGTATTGCTCGGTATTGCTAGGTATTACTCGGTATTTGCTCGGTATTCGCTCGGTATTGAACCAGATCGCGGAGAAGCTGCGTCGTCTAAAGAAGAAGTACCGCAACGTCGCGGCCAAGATGGGATCCGGCCGGGGATTCGTCTTTAAGAGCCCTCACAACTACCTTCGAGATCTCACGTAACATCTAGAGCTCCACGTTTTACCGCAAACCGAAGAATCGAACAAACCAGGAAGATCGGAGCTGCGACGTCGCTGGATCAAAGGAAGAGCTTGTTCCGGTGAACGCCGCTCGGCGGCGATCCTGACAACGGTAGGCATTCTCACACCCCGAAGTAGCAAATACCGAGCAAATACCGGCGTTGATGTCTCGACGCCACCGGCTTCTCACGCTACCTGGCGAGACTCGCATCTGAAGGTCCGTCCCGAACTTAAGCGATGAAATGCCACAAATACCGAGCAAATACCGAGTAGTACCTAGCAATACCGAGCATATTCGTTCCGGGTTGGGTCGTCGAGCCGTGCGGTAAATAGTAAGAGCACGTGGCGATATATTATAGGCTACTTGATGTATCTGTACATCAGGTAACCTGAGGCAATAAAAATTCCTTATAGGGAGATTTTGGATAGACTTTGTATTTTGAGATTTTAAATATTTATTCGAGGATTTCGGCATGCGACGCGATGTGGACCTGAAAAAAATATTTAAAATGCCCCCAATCTTCTAGAAAACTTTGAAATGCATTCTAGCTACACAAGATAATTTAAAAATATAAATATAAATATGCATTGATAAATATGCATATAAAACTTTGATCAGTGTATATTACATTAGACATGAAATTTTTATGCATGATAATTCTTTAAATGTCGACCGATGATCGGCGGCATAGGCCTCTGGCTGTCAAGGTTGATAAGTTCCTCCTTGAAATACCTTCTCAATAACAAAAGGGCCCTCCCAATTAGATACGAATTTGCCACCGATTTTTTGATGTGGGATGATTGACCTTCTTAATACCATAACCAATTTTCCTTCTTGAAATGCCCGAGGATGCACCATCCGATCAAATGATTTCGTCATTCTTCATCGGTAGATTTTTAGATTTTGTTGAACTTGTAACCTGAATTCATCAAGTGTGTCAAGCTCTTCCTTTCTCAAGCAAGCATTTTGCTCTTGAGTGAGATCGTTCTGGATTGCTACCCGGAGTGATGGTAGTTCAACTTCTAGTGGCAATACTGCTTTAACTCCAAATGCCAGTGAATAAGGAGTGGCTTTGATGGGCATTTTGTAAGTTCTATGATAGGCCCATAGTGCCTCTGCCATTTTCGTATGCCACTATCTTTCATTCTTGGTAAGGATCTTCTTAAACAGTTTCACTAATGTCTTGTTGAAGGCCTTCGCTAGGCCATTTTCTCT